TGCACTTGCCTTTGTTGAACTTCATGAGGTTCCTCTCCGCCCACCTCTCCAGCCTGTCCAGGTCCCTCTGAATGGCAACACAGCCCTCTGGTGTGTCAGCCACTCCTCCCCGTTTAGTATCATCAGCAAACTTGCTGAGGGTGCACTGTGTCCCTTCCTCCAGGTCATTGATGAATATATTGAACAAGACTGGGCCCAGGACTGACCCCTGGGGGACACCGCTAGCCACAGGCCTCCAACTAGACTCTGCGCCACTGACCACAACCCTCTGGGCTCGGCCATCCAGCCAGTTCTCAAGCCACCTCACTGTCCACTCATCTAGCCCACACTTCCTGAGTTTACCTAGGAGGATGTGATGGGAGACAGTGTCCAAAGCCTTGCTGAAGTCCAGAGAGACAACATCCACTGCTCTCTCCTCATCTACCCAGCCAGTCATCCCATCAGAGAAGGCTATCAGATTGGTCAAGCATGATTTCCCTTTGGTGAATCCATGCTGACTACTCCTGATCACCTTCTTGTCCTCCACATGCTTAGTGATGACCTCCAGGAGGAGCTGTTCCATCACCTTTCCAGGGATGGAGGTGAGGCTGACAGGCCTGTAGTTGCCTGGCTCCTCCTTCTTGCCCTTTTGGAAGACTGGAGTGACATTGGCTTTCTTCCAGTCCTCAGGCACCTCTCCTGATCTCCAGGACCTTTCAAAGAGGATGGAGAGTGGCCTAGCGATAACATCCGCCAGCTCCCTCAGCACTCGTGGGTGCATCCCATCGGGGCCCATGGATTTATGGATGTCAAGTTTGGACAAAAGATCTCTAACCTGATCCTCCTCAACCAAGGGAGAGTCTTCCTTTCTCCAGCCTTCCTCTCTTGCCTCCAAGGTCTGGAAATGTTGTCCAATGTTAATCATGAGCCATAAATATGTGAATATTTTTGGCTGGAGCAACTTTTATTGGTTACTGACTATTTCTTCCTCTTTCTCCATCTCAAGTTTTGACACCAGTTTAACTAAGAATTTCAAGACTAGGTAACTGTTAAGTAGCCAGGCACGCCTCTAACCAAATTGAATTTAAAACGATTGCCTACAAATACCCATGGTGCTTAGTGGCTGGGGAATGGGAGAAATCAAATGTTAAAAAAAGAAGTCATCGCATATAGTCTTCAGTAAGAAAACCTCTAGCCTTATTCATCAGTGAATCTGAAGAGAGGGTGTAAGACATGTTCTTCTTACACATACAGATGGTCAACGATGGAGTTTTGCACACTGCATTTCTTCAAGTCCCTCTTTTGTACTCAGTATTTGATGCTGATAGTGGACCATAAAGTGTATCTATATTATATGAACAGTAAATGTGATTGATGAAACCGATTCAAAAATCTATAGTTAGGATCTGGGGGACTTAATTATTAAGTTACTGTTTTTGAAACTGTTAAAGATAAAATGCTGATACAGTTCCATTAGCAAAGTAAATCTTTGGGAATAAAAAAGTTACGAAGGCTGACATAAATTCAGTTTGAGAACAGTGCTACTGGTAGGGGGGTTTCAGGTTTACACTTTAACTGCATTAGAGAATTAAAAAAACTTTTAATTCTTTTTTTCTGTTGTTTCTTTAGAAAAGAGCTTCAGAATAGCAGCATAATCTAACTTTTCTAATAGTTCCAGCGTAAGCAGTGTTGAAAGCTAACTTTTCCTTTTAGTATGACAGGTAGAATTGTCACTTAGACCATCAAGCCATTAAAACAGTTTTTAAAAAGTATTTTGTAGATTTGTAACACTAGCATTCTCAATAATTTTCCAGTGCCTTTTCAATCAAGAACATCTGGCTAAAATTGCACTATCTGACCTTTCGATTAATGGCTCTGCCTCTTGCCTGTCATACTAATACAGAGTTTGAGGAATAGTTAGGATTCATCTGGAAGTGATATAATTTCTGCCTTTGTCTTTCTTTTCTGGACGCTAATGGCTTTTTGTCAGTCCTCTTCACTCAATGTATGACACATAGCCATTCTAGTTAAGTTGTCCATTAACTTCAAGCATTATGACAAGAACAAAGGAACATCTTAAAGAAGTTGCATTTAGCTATATAGATTAAATTTCTACAAATCCTTTGCTTATAAGGTGCTGCTTTCAATTATGACTAATGTTAATCTGAGTGCAACAGTATCCATTACTAATTAAAACAGGCTGCTTAAACAAATATAAAAGGTCACAAGGCCTGTAGATTCAATGTATTAGCATTCCTGTTTTGCTTCTCTCTGTTTTACTGTTTTATGATTTGTTTTTTTCTTCAAGTTATCTATTTTCTAAGGAAGAACTGTGGAAAACAAATCAATAAGCAGAAAGCCACAACAAGTGGTCTAAAGTCCAAGGCCTCAGTGTTGCACTTAATGTTACTTCCTTAGGATCATGCTGTATACAGTGTCCTATAGCACACCTAAGCGGAAATTAATACATTCATTTCTATGGAGGCTTTCAGGTTCAAAGTTACAAACCACTAGGGGAAACAGATTCTGTTAGGAAAACTGACATATGTAGTCCTGCAAGCTTTTCAAAAATATTTCTTCTGTTTAAATATTTATCACTGAGGTATAAAAATTATAAAAATAATATGCCTTGGATGACTTTTAGAAATATGTTTGACTGTACAATATTTTACTCAGTTCTACCAATCAGATATCTGGTCTTGTCTGCAGTAAGGCTGCAATACAAAGGATTTCAGTTCCAGTTTTATTCCTTATACCGTTCTAAATAAAAAAGGAATTTCTCATCCCTTATCATTAGGGCATCAATTAGACAGGATGTTTCTAGGAGTTGCAAAGAGGTTTGAGCTGTCTTTGCTGGAGCTTCTTTTAGACAGATAACACATTAGGGCTTTGTTTGAATTTAGGTTACATTTAGGCCTACATGGCAAAGGTATTTTATTCAGTTCTAACTCAACTGTATATTTGGTCTGATTCTGTTCTGGTTGAAGTTAAGAGCAATTTGTTCCTCCTCTATCCAAACTTTCCTAGGACCAGCCATGCATATGAAATTATACTTGTAGCCATGCTTTTCTGTGTCCCACAATGATGTGATATCTATCTTAAACCATGCGCACAGGCACACAGCCTTAAAATAGAGCCTGACAGAGGCAGGTTAATCTTCTATCTGAAATTCTATTTTGCATAGGGTTTTTTGGACACAAAGGTCTGTATTACCTGATATTTCCAGATCTCCGTGAGCCTCCTTCTTTGGTTTGTCACCTTGGGCTAGACCAAGAGTAATGAGGCAGCTATGCTCTAGTCTCTACATCAGCTTCTCTTCCATTCCCAAATGTCTAAAAACATTCAAGATATCACTTCAGCTGAGCCAATCTGCAAGACAAAGAATAAAACAAACTTTGGTCATAAATAATACGAAGCCTTGACAACAAATAATTATTTTTATGACCAGAACCTTTGACCAGAACTATCCAGCCATAGCAGAGGACACTGCAGTGTCCAAAAAAGGGAAGGCAACTTTCATTAAGTCTCTAAAACGAAACTCTAAACTAAGTCTCAAACCACAAACCTGTTGCACTTGATTGCACTTGAACCTGAATGACTCTCCACTGCTTCTCACTCTATTGGATGCCAAATAACATTCAGAAGATGCCTTACTTCAGAATAAGACTAAAACTATATGCAGCAACATCTGTGTATGTGTGCACCATGCTGTATATTCTCCCTTTGCTTTCTTGCCAGCCCTTCATCAGAACCCTTCCCCTCAGAGGGGATAGGCAGTGCATTAGTGTAATGCTAGCTCCGTTCTTCAGTGAACAGTGTTCTTCATCTCCCTCTGATGCGTGTATCTTAGGGCACCTTCAACGAAAAGTACCTATCTACTCCCCAGAGCACTGTCCTTTCTTTGTCCATCCTCTCAGATTTAAAAAAAAAAAAAAAAAAAAAAAAGGAACTGGTCAGGTGAGTGAGAACCAACAGAAAGAACCTCTTTTCCCTGATCCCAGGACCTCTTTGTTAATCTAAATCTAACAGATGAAAATAAATTGCTGGGTACATATCAGGCAAGGCCCCACACTCAACAAGGTTCAGCTGCACAGTGCAAGGTCGGTGGTGGAAGGGCAGAGAAAGGGTTAGTGTTGTTTGTGGCAAAAGACAGCTGAGAAAACAAAGCTGTCACAGCTGTCACACACCTGATGCACCACCAGCACTCAAAGTGCTCAACTTTGCACAGGCTGATATCTTAGGTGCCATGAAGTCAAGGGAACGGCAGGTAGCAAATTCTCCAAAAACTTCTATGCCAGTTATTTGGCATTATGGATAGCATCTTCTAGGTGAATCTAGACTCACAGGCTCAGATATCAAAATAAACACTGAAATAACCTTGTACAACCTGCTAAAAAGCTATGTGGTTTCATCCTAACTTCCAATGGTCAGTGCAGTCTTTTCAGAACTCCTTTTAGATTAGCTGTGACCCAAGCTAACAAGAGGTGGTAAGTTGAAGCTCCCACAGAAAGGTACGGCAGGCAAAAAAGCATCTGCACAAAGCTCTGGGTGACTGCAGAGTCCCTGGGGATTCTTACCACTCAGCTCCTTTCTTCCCTCCTACTTAGGATCAATCCAGTAAGAGCTACCTGAATCACTCGCTGACACCATATTTTCCAGGTGTGTTGCCTGCCTCTCCCTCTGTCCCACATGCATTCTGTCCATCCACTCAGGTAGCTCACTGCCTGATGAGCAAGGTTTAGCTTGCATGTGCCTGCATGCCCATGTTTGGAGACATTTACTTTAAACTGCTGAAGAAAGACTACACATGATTGTCTCCCTAACCACACCTGGTCCCACCACCTGCAAAAGGCTGTGACTTGGCACTATTTTTTCAGCAATTCTTTTGTTGAATATCCTATGACACAGATTTCCAGTTTAAACCCCCTAGCAAACACCTATGTGAGGATTTGAGAATGCACAAGCTTTTGAAGCTCCCATTTCTTAATTGTGGGACAGAATCAACCGCCTGTTGTCACCTCTCTTTCATCTTCATAGTAGTGTGGCTATGTAGTGCATGATAACACTTTACTATATACACAGACAATGCAGCTCTGTAATAATGTTAGCTTTGTCCTACAGTGCAAAATCATTTCTTTCTAATGTGTGTGTCTTAGGACCCATAACAGTGAGATATCAGAAAATGCTGATTCTTTGTCATTTTGCCAAATTCTGCAGACTTGTAGCATTCATTAAAAAAATTTCTTTGAAGCGTTTGCCCTGAACACAGAATCTGCAACAACAACAACAGGAGACATTTTTGATGGCACAACTTCACTGCTTTGAGCAACCGGTCACTGCAGCTCAGGGTCACTGACAAGGGATTACACTAAAGGCTACTCCTTCGTCTTCTATACGTAGCTACACAGATTGTACTAAAAGGTTACTCTTTGGTTTTCTGTATGTAACTAGACAATCTCCATTTAACACAAAGACCTAAATTTCACAGTTACATGCTTAAATGCCTTAAAGAATTCCAGACGTTAAAGTGAAGAAAAGGAACTGTTAAAACAGACAAACAAACAAACAAACAAACTAAAAACCCAGAGCGAGTGTGCCTGGGCGAGGAGGGGGTAGGTATTAAAAACGCAACAAGCTACAGAGCATTTTTTAAAGCAAAATGCTTTCATGTCACCTTTGGGAAGTATATATTTGTGTATGTGTATGTCCATACAGACGTACACACTGAAATTAAGGCTGCTTGCTCTCATCTGTTCTGATGCAGCTATTTTTGATACCATAATTGAGGTAATGTAATAGAAGGAAATCACACTAGCTGAGATAGATGACTCATGTTCAGATGATTTTGGTAAGTGAGTCAGGGAGAAACAGAAAGGTGAATTAGAATGCAATGACAGTTTTTATGTGAAAAATCAGATGATGAATTTATATGACACAAGAGCATTATCCAAAATCACTCTGTAACATGGGAAGACGGCTACATTATAGGCTGAAGGAGAAGTTTGCAGTGATAGACATTGAGAGTAAACGGACAGAGGAGTAAAAAGACAAAGAAATAGAAAAACAGTGTAATAGACAAGCCTTAGACAATATATACAATAAGCTGATGACAGAATTAGCTTGGTTACATTAACTGGCAAGTTTTAGCAAAAAAAAAGTTGGACAAACTAAGGTAAAACCAAAATTTCTTAAGACATTTTCCAGGTCTAGTAGAAGCTAACAAAACATTATATACAGATATCATTCAAAGGAACCCACGTTAGCTGGATACTAACATACAACATCTCATCTTAAATGTTCCTAACAATGTAGTTTATCATGAAATGTGAGGCTCATAAAAAGCTGAATGGAACAACTATAACGTTGTCTATAATCTAACTGTGACTAACAGATAGCTGATAACACTTTCTTCTGATTATACAGTGTCTGCATAAATTAAAGAATTATAATTATGTCAGGAGCTACACATTAGTGAAACTAATTTTAATATATTGTGAAGTATATTGGTACTATTTACTATTAATCAATGTACATAAAAACTTTGCTTACTCTTGTTTTGCTTCCAGCATGCTGTGTATATTAACTTGTCCAACTTTACATACTAACCAATTGTGACTATTACATCCATATAATTTATCAGATTAAAAAAAAAATTAAACTCAAGCAACACCTTTCCATATGGCCAATTAGTGAAGTCATAAAATGCAGCAAATATATGATGCTGTATTGAACATCTGTGCTGGTTATCCTATGGGAATTTTTAATAAAGGACCAAACAGCATATTGATGTTAATTCTATGTTACCGGGACTTTAAATAAAAAACTAAAATAAATAGCATCCATTAAACTGATCATACTGTTGTAACTCAAATTGTGTTTATTATGCTAATGGAACATGAAATTAAGAAAAAGACCTTTATGCCAGTGGAATTAATTAATGAGCTTTATGAAGGCATTGGGATGTAATTTATTTCTAGATAAGTAAGTCTAATTTGCAGTTCCATGGGTCTCTGCAATGCTGATTGTAATAGTTATTCCTGCAGATGTGCTGCTCACAGCATGTCTTTCCATTAGAACTGAACACCTCATTATATAAACTGTACCTAATTAAACATAATACAGTGGTGACTTGTTAAACTGGCCTTTTTAAGTCAGCAGCTGCCTAAGCTAATAATACCGTACACAAGATTTATATCATCTACCATATAATACTGATATTAAAATATACAGCCCAAGGGATTGACAACTAATTTACCAGTATGTAACAGGTACACTTCAGATTGTACAATGGAGGTTAAAGACTACTAGTCTACAAAAATCTAATGAATTAAAGTCTATTTGGAGTTCTTAATAATTATGAAAGTTGTTTTTAATAATTGCGTTCTTTGCAATAGGTTATTTTAAAAACCAAAATCAGAGAATAATTCCTGTCCTATGTCCTTTCTCCCTATCTGATGAGCTGTTCTTCTTATATGGTCTGTATCAATGCAGTATCTGAACACATTTAGATATGTGCACGCTCATTTTATTTTGGGTAAATCCAAACAAGTAACCCCTAAAAAGAGATTCAGCTATTTCTTGAATTTTGAAAGTTTGATTCTGGGACTTCTCTAGGACACATCCTTCTTTCCACCAAAATGTAGATTTATTGCATATTCAAAAGTATGGCAGTCTGTCCCCACGAAGTCTGCCTACTTCAGTCAGATAATCAGATGGTCAGAAAATATATTGCCAACAAGTTGATTCTCTCATGAGGTAAGGCAGGAACGCTCGAAAACTACACAAGAACAGATTTTGAATAAACAACATTTGACCCTGAAAACTTTCACATTACATGTACACTTTCTGGTGTAAGATTTGTTCTCTGTTGCTCTCTTTGTCAATGCTGAATCACCCGCTGTTTTGTGTTGTAACGCAGGGTGGTATGCACGTGAACGCCCTACTGCTACTCTTCCTGTTTTGCTCCTCTCCGTACAAGGCAGACATGCTGTGCTGGCAGCTCGATGAGAGGAATGAGGCGGCCGTTGCAGTCCCCCTCTGACAGCTGCGGTTCCTGCCTCATCCACCACTAGCTCTTGCTCTATCCCACCACCGAACCATGTGCAGACATGTACTCAGCCCCGCCTGTTGCTGCCACTTCTCCTCTGAACCAGCAGGAAAATGAGACTCAAATTCTAAACATCTTTTCACATCTGTTGTTCTAAGCAATAAACTTAAGCTTAAATTTAGTCAAAGACTTAAGTCCATCAATACCAAGTACCAACACAAATTCAAAGTTAAGAAACGTTGAAATGTTTACTCAGGCAGGACTTCAGCTTGCCCACTATATTCACTCTCTTGTACAACCTTTTCTTGCGCGCAGAAGCTAG